CTCGCGGCCGCCCCTGCGGGCCGCGCTTGGAGGCGCCGGGGCTGGCTGGCGATGCTGCGCGCGCGCTGTATCGAGCTGGGCGAGAACGGCGGCGGGGACGACTGCAGCGCCGCCACGGAACCATGGCCGGGCTTGTGGGCGGCGAGCTCGGTCTTCGCCTCCTCGAGCTTGGAGGACGTGTTGTTTGAGCCGCCGCCGCCGCAGCCGTCGCCGGCGGCGTCGCCCGTAGATTTGGCGGTAGAAAAGGAATTGCTGGGCGGGATCACAGGAAACAGCCGAGAGGATGGGATCGATCTTGGCGTGGAGGCGGGATGGGGACACCACCACCCCCGCCTGCCGTGTCCCCCGGCGGGCGGCGACGAGCAAGGTATGCAAGAAGAGCCGTTTTTCCGTGGAATCCCCCCCGATGTCACGGGCAGCGTTTTGTTCCAAGGAGGCTGTCCCGATCACCTCCTTCCCGGCGGCGGGAGGGCTCAGCAGCAGCCGCACTACTACTGCATAGAGCCGAGGGCCGCGGTGGATGCCCTTCCCACGAACGGCTTCGCCGCGCTTGCCGCAGGCTTTCCTTCCCCTTCCTCGGCGGCGAGGCCGGCGGCGGGGAACCCCAGCAGTGGCAAGCGAAGGAGAGCAGCGGCGGCGGCGGCGGGCGCCTGGGACTTCAGCGGGCATCATGCTGCCGCTGCTGTTGCTGCCGGTGCCGCCGCCGCTGCTGGTGGAGGTGGTGGCCAGCCTGAGGGCGGCGGTGGCGATGACAACCCGTCGATTGCGGGCGCCTTCGGCGGCGCCGAGCTAGGCAGCGGGAACGGCGTTGACGACGAGTTCTACGGGCTCGTGGTGCGCACGCTGGAGATGGCGGACGGACCCTTCCGGATCATCGTGGGCTACGTCTGATCCGGTTAGGCAGGTGAGGGGGGGGGGGGGGGGCGGACCAAGGTCGGTCGCCGAAAATGGTCGTCGAATCTCTTCGGTTCCGATTGAGCGGAAACGTGTTATTCCTGTAGTCGTTAGGGTTTGGGTCTGACGCTTCTGTCGAATTTGCTTCCGATGCATCGGAAACGCCTTCTTCCTGCTGTGGTCGTTAGGGATTCGTTGGGTGCGGCGCCTGCTCCCGTCCCTCGTGTAGGCGCCAGACTCAATTTTATTTTTTGGCGTCGGGAGGGTGTTGTTTCATGGCTGCTGCTGCTACTGCTACTGCTGTTATTGGCGTTCGTCAGAGGTTATGAAATAGAGCCCCATCATGGTCTTCCACCCACGCTGCTTCCCGAGGCTTAAGAGTAACCGCACCGCTGGTCACGCCTAGCTCAACTTTCAGGAATGCACCCAGATAACCTTTCTGCTTGTTAGTGGACTTTTCTTCCCGGCGGCAAATATGTGGAACACGGTTGGTTGTGATGGAATTTTTTGCCGATGGAAACACGCATGCACACTTATGATGGATTTTTTTACCGACGGCAGGTATGTGCACGTTATTAAGTGATGCATCTTCAGCACGCGTCTGTCTGCTCTGTGGTTAAGTTGGCCGGGTGTTTTCCGCCGCCCCGCCGTTTACCGTCGGCCTGACGCCCCGTAGTTGTTGTTTTCCGTTTCCCTGCCCCCCCCCCCTTGAATCCGCGATGCCGCTCAGTGATGCAATCTCGTGTGAACTAGGCCTGGAGACATCTTCGGTCTTCTCCAAACTATTTACAAGGACCTCACAACATCGCGGTGTATTTCCTCCGGCTCTCTTCTCTCAAGGGATTGTTTTTTGGGGGGACTGGATTCAGAAGTAAAATTAGGCACAATGAACGCCGTGTGTGGCAGTTTACAACCGTGCTCTTCGCTAAGGAATCGAGGTGGGGTTTTTTCTTGACGCGCGAGGGGAATGATAGAGATTTAACTGCTGCCACAGGACGCGCCACGACTTGAGGACCGAACGTGTTTCCCCGAGGCACGCCCTTTTCTTTTTTTTTAATTAGTCTGCGGGTCTCAAATTGTATGCTTACGATTCTTAGCTGTGCACCTGTTCTTATCTGGTACATATATCGTGTACTGTCTGTTGTTTAAGCATTGACTTCTTTAACGCCAGGTTCTGTACAACCCCCAGGTGGCCGCGGTTTATTTATTGTGCGGAAGCAGCACAACACTTTCGACAGCAGATTTCCTGCGGTAGCCCCTTCCGCCCTGTTTACCCGTCACGTTACGTAGTTAGCCCCATGACAATAGGCTGGCCCTGCGCTTTTTTTTGCTCCAGGAGAGACGAGGGGCTCAAGAATGTTGTCCACAGAGCAGCAGCACATACATATACGAAGTATGTATATGATAGCGGCGCCATACAATTATTTGGCCTCCGTCCTTCATGCGTTTTGGAAGCGCGCCAAATATTACCAGGCGAAAGAATGTGTCAGGGATATTTCTCTCTGCTCTTTTGGCTGGCTAACGCCACCACCCTCCCCTGGGGCTGTATTGGCGGGTTGTGTGGATTTTGTTGGGGTGTTGTGCCGTACATTTGGCGGCTGTGGTGCTGTGCTCCATCTCGCTGCGTAGAGGATTTATTTATGTTTTGACTGCCTCGTCGGTGACATATCTATGATATTTAAAGCCGCGTGACCTGTCTGTCTGTCTGTCTGTCTGTCTGTCTGTCTGTGTCGTCGTCGTCCCATGAGAAATTTCGGTTCATGGTGTACATGCATGTGTCTCGGCGGTATTGAAGGTCGTGCATGTTTGGTGAGAGTCCAATGCCCCACAACGCTAGTATTGCCATTATCTGCTGTGGTGGACAAATTAGTTGTGTCAGCCGCATGCGAGCTTGACTGCCCCCCCCCCCCCCCCCCCCCTCTCCCCGAAGAATCACCAAAAAAAAGGGAATGGCCCTAAACGGGGGGGGGAGTACCAAACAAAAGGATTTTTTCCC